GGGGTTAAAAATTTTTTTGGAGGGGTGGACATTTTGTTTTGGGGGGTTATAGCTAATATTGGGGGGGGGGGGTAGTACCCCCTGCACCCCCCACAAAATCCGTCTATGCTGACAGTACTAGAAACCAAAACCGTAACAACTATCAAAATCCAAAACCATATGCATATAATGGTTAACAAAATTACACAATATTTTAAACCGTATTTATAATATACCGAATGAACAAAAATGAGCTAGATATACAATTAGCTAAAAGAAACTACAAACCATCACAACAGAAATTTGTGTCGTAAATTACTTTTATTTAAAGTTTGAAAAAGAAAAATTTATCCTCGAATAATCGAATTTAACTGTGCATCAAACCCGTTTGCGCTAGATTATAGCGGTAATATTATTTTGCTGTGCTTAATTTTTGCAATAATTTTCACTAAAATAGTTTGAAAATCATTCTAAACCTTTTTATATAAAGCATACAAAGCATATACATCGACAATGATCCGCAAAACTCAAAGGAGCGTTTCTTTTGTTAATCTAGATTTGGATTTTTAGGACTCGGATTTTTTGGATTCGTTAAACAAATGGAACGAATTGTGAGAATCGGAATTCGCCTGCTGTTTTCCCGCCATTTTTACAATAAGTTTTCTGTCCCACTATATACCTTTCCGTCGGGTCAAGGTACATGCTAGAAGGCCAGAAGCTCAAAAGGAACGTTGAATCCTAATCAAATTTCAGATTGAATCCGAAAAATCCATATGTTGAGGTGGATTCATCAGATACGAATCTATTTTAAGATTTTGTTAAATGAAACTGAAAATCGATAATCGGATTTGAAGATCCCAAGGCTGCAAATAAATATTTGACTCGACAGGACATTTGTCCGATCACTTTTAATTTTCGTCGGACATAACTTGAATTTGGTCGGACATATATACGTTGCACAAGATATATAGGTATATATAAGTCACGAGACAAGTATGTATAGCCATTCCGGCGCAACGTTAAGTAAAATGCTAGAATGCCTCGTAAGTTTTATTGCAAAATGTGAATTGAGTGAATTTGCAATCGGATTTTGTCAAAGCAAAAAAAATGTATAATGTGACAATATATTTTTTTGATCTGATCAATGTCCGATCAAAATTACTTTTGCTCGGACATTTGCCAAATTTAGTCGGACATTGTCCGATGTCCGACAGTAATTTGCAGCCCTGAGATCCAAATCCGGATTGCACTAAAGGAACGCTCCCGACATGTTAACTCAAGCTATTTTCGGCTTGGTCGCGTAATTTTGAAAACGAGTGTAATACACAAGATAAAAAGTGTCTCTCGTAAGGAAACATTTGTTTGGAAAGTAGGAGCGAAATCAAGTCTCCTTTTTCGAATCGTTCAAATTAAATCACTGGAAATTCAGACTGATATAAATTTCGTCATTTTCTTGTAGTCTTGTTATTGAATTAATTGATGCGGTTCTTTTAATAATTGACGAGATGACATTGTTATTGTGTGGATCGGGACGAAGCCAGATCCTATGATTGTCTAGCAGACAGAATCTTTGTTTGCATGTGTTAAAGATTACATACTAAAACTGTCTGTACCAGTGTAGGTAGTACCAATGTAGAAATGCTGTGCTGAGTGGTTATACAGTTGTTAAAAAGATTTGCAACAATAAAGGAAGAATATTCAAATTAATGAGACAAAACGGTCGGCCATAATGTCCGTGCAGAGTAATCAGTAGACGGCCATATCAGCATTTTGCTCGGCTAATGGCCGGTGGCCGACCGTTATATTGATCTCTGATAATGCTGTTATATCTGTCAGTGGATAAGTCGATCAGAAAGCTGCTGATTGGTAGGGGTACAACTATTACAACTACCTGAAAAATACAAGCGGAATTTCGATCAAAACGTCGAAGTTCTGCTTGTATATTTCAGGTAGTTGTATCCCTATCAATCTGTGGGGTTGAAATTCACATTTGTTTCTACTATACAACCAGAATAGGAAAATTACCATGATTCCATCTGAAGATTTACTATTCCTTTATGTTTCTGATTCACAGGCTAATATTTCTGACATTTGCAAACATAGCAAACAATAAACCTTTAACATTTATCACTTATTTACTGAGACCAAGGGAAACAGTGTGTTTTGTGGACACGAGACTGCCGTTGTTACCCGAGGCGAAGCCGAGGGCAACAACGGCGGTCGAGGGGCCACAAAACACACTGTTTTCCCGAGGTCTCAGTAAATAAGTGTTCTGTTATATAGTATATAAGTATGAATAATTCACCGGTTATTGGAGTGAACTTAATTTGAAACCAAAACTGGATAAATGGAACGCCGTAAATGTTTAGTAAAAAGTTTAAAAAATGAACTTTGGAACTTCATGGTTGACACGCATGCGTATTGCACCCATTTTATTATTGACCGGTCAATAAATGTTTCATTGCGGACCGGTTGCCGAACATGACGTTTTGTGGACCGGCACGTGACACGGTTTTGACCAATCGGCAAACAGAAAAATTGAACTTTGACACTAACTATATAACAATACCGTTTATTCACTTTTGACCCAATGGCCTCGTTTTCGTGTTTGCCAGTTTTGGCATGACAGGCGCACATGAAGGTTATTTTTCCATGTTTCCTTCACGATTTGGTTCCTGGTTGATCTTAAGCCCAATAACAAGAAAGTTATTAACCCTATTGTGCACGAAACACAAGTGAATACCTGACACGAAAACGAGGCCATTCGGTCAAACGTAAATTAAATGATAAGGTCTATTTTGCTGTTATCAAATGCATCGCTCTGTTAGCATTACTGCTTTTATTATTAGCATGACAAAATTACTGGATGCTGATTGGTTGAGAGGAGTACAATTATTTCATCAATTGTACTGCAGTACAATTAATGATTTTCCCAAAACAAACAAAATGGCGGAAATGTATTTTAAACACAAATGTGAAATGAAATTGCCGTGGAGGAACTAGATGAAAATACGAACAAAAGTACCAAATTTTGTTTGAACAAAAGAATTAAATGAAGATACAAACAAAAGCACCAAATTTTGGTTCAAAGTCTGGCAGGACTGGGCTTTGGCGAGAGAATATGATGTTGACATTGAGAAGTACGTATCCAATTTTGTCACGCTAATAATAAACAATAATCATGCGATGTTGCTCGTACAATTAGGGATTAATAGTACTCGTGATGTTTGGAAATTTGCCAAATTGAACTCGCCTCGGCGGCTCGTCCAATTTCGGCAAAATTTCCAAACATCACTCGTACTATTAATCCCTAATTGTACGAGCAACATCGCATGATTACCTATACAATACTGTTGTTGTTTTCAATGACAAAGCATGATGGCACTGTCTGCCATGCAGCAATGTTAGAATTAACGCAGCAGAATAGAATACGCGAGCAAACTAAAATCAACTACATGTAAAATTTTCATCAATAACCTACATGTAACTGTGTACATTCTTTAATTTTCAGTGGGCATCATGTCACATCAAGGTAGACACTGACCTCATTCATTCCACTCTTAATCACATGGTATCCCTCCTTCACAATTCTACCTCCAAGGGTCCCCCACTATCCTCCACCTCGGCATTACTCTCCCAAGTCACTAGTTTATTACCGGCGTCATCCACCGACCAGAATGACGCCGTGTCGAACAAGAGAAAGATGTGGAGTGAGGTGAATAGAAGAAAGACATTCAACAACTGGCCACATAAGGATTATAAGTGGGCTGTGCCTGACACCATGGCGCAAGCTGGATTTTATCATCAGGTGAGATATCAAATATGCTGTAAATAGCATGTCTATGTTTGGTAACTTGGGTTTTAGGTGACTATTTATTCAAGGTATACAGTGGTTGGAACAAAGATCCTTGCAGGAGAAACCATGAGGTTGACCCTATCTGATCAGTTCCCCTTACATTGTAGAGAGGTTTAGATTTGACTCCCACTCTGCTACCATTAATGTAACATTAACCAATCAGATGCATTTGAACTATCTGATTAATCAATCAGATGCTTTTGAACTATCTGATTAACAATTAGATGCGTACTAAGCCAAAGAAAGGTAGTGATAGCAGTAATGGAAGTCAAGTCTGAACCTCTCTAGTTTCATTGCATAGAGTGCCCGAATCAGTAATCAGTAATCAGTGAATTGATTATTTTTCGGCGATTGCTTAACGGGCAATACAAGCCAGTTAACGGACAATACAAGCCAATTAACGGACAATACAAGCCAATTAACGGACAATACAAGCCAGTTAACGGACAATGCAAGCCAATTAACGGACAATACAAGCCAATAGGATCACCAACAGTTGACCGCGAGTTTTGTTCCAGAATTCAAAATGTTGTCAAACTTAACATTTTGATCCGTTAACCTCATTTTGATCCGTTAAATGGCCCCCAAAACTCGATCTTTTCATTTTTTATAAGTGGAATATTTTTATTTCCAACCATTTTCTAGTCTGATCGTCGTACCTACCCAAACTCTGTGGATAGAGCTGTTTGTTTTACTTGCAATGTTGGTCTTGTTTGCTGGGAACCCACGGATGAACCATGGTAAGTGTTTGCAATTAATCACTTGTTGAACCAAATGCTATTAACACGGGCCAATTTTCAACAATGAATCGCAAATCCCTGGTCAAACGAGGATGAGAGTTGAGAAGTGATAGTTTGCACGAGAGTTTTCTCAAAGCCTCAGTCATGCCACAGTCAAACAAAAACATGCACATCAGAGTTGAATGGATGTTACCACACGCGTAGCAAAAACTCTCATCAATGTCTCATCAAGATTTGAACCAGCTTTAAGTTGATGAGAGTCGATGAGAGTCTCGCAAACGCTAGCGAGAGTTGCAACTCTCATCAACTTGTCATCAACTTTTCATCAACTCTCTTCCTCGTTTGATCGGGGCTCGACGTAACGTGTTGCCGCACCAAATTTCGTCTGACATTATTTGCATTACAAATCATTACAATTTTTCTCCACAATTTCGCCTTTAAAGTCAGATAGATTTATTTAGTATACATGTAGAATGATCAAGTTCAGCTTGTATAAGAGAGATTCTTTATTTTAATTTTTTAGGTCAGAGCACGAGAGACACTCGCCTAAATGTCCATTTGTTCGCGGGGAATGCACGGAGAACGTTCCTTTGTCAGTAACCATTGCAACATCTCCAGCTCAATTTCACAACGAGGAAAAACAAAAGGTAAGAATACGATTTTGATGCCTTTGGAATTTTTATGTAATATTCTAGTTAGTTTCATGACACATTTTTATACAATCAAACCTTATTACTCAACTGTATAATTTCTTCTAAGATTTCTTGTGTCAGTTCGCCGACCTCCGTGCCTCTAATGGCAACATCAACTGCAGAAGGTCAGATCGTAGTCTGGGATATACGTGACGAGTTACAGGTATACATTTTTTGTGTGTGTGTTTTGATGTTATGTACTCAGGTGAATATAATGTTTTGATGTTACTCTGAGTGTGCATCCACACCGGGCAGGCTGAAAAGTTTGCCTGACCACGGTGGGAATCGAACCCGCGACCTTTGGGATACTTTGTTGTACATGTTTGCAATGTCGAGCATCACCTTGCTGTAATAATGTTGTAATCTTACGATTCTCACCGTGATAGTCATAGTCTTACGATTCTTAACGATACAGTTAACCGCCAGAAAAACGAGAAAACAATGTATGAAAACACGAGCGCGAAGCGCGAGTGTTTTCATACATTGTTTTCGAGTGTTTGGATATCCCGGTGAGACACGAGCTCGAGTTGTTTATATGGCTTCTCAAATGAATCGAGACGTAACAGAATATTTTCATTTGCTGATTTGAATAGAGTTCTTAACCAAGCATAACGTAATTAGGTATTCTATTCAAGTAATTTTGCATGCGTAATTAGATATTTGATGAAAACACTAGTGACTTTCATCAAGTTTCACCTGGTTATCCAAATGGCATCTTGTGATCAAATAGGTGATTATCATTGGCTGAATTGCTCATGAATTATTAATGAATTTGAGAAATAATATTTCAAATCCGACTATGAGGACTGGACTAGATTTCAAGCAATTTGATCAAAGCAATTTCAAGCAATATGCGAGGACATGACATCTCATATGAATAAATCACTACTTAATTAATTTTGATGCAGTCCAAGGACTGAATTAGTTTTGATCCAATCCTAGGACTGGATCAATATACTTCACCAGGTATTCAGTATTATCATGTGAGCAAAATAAAACAATATGGTTGGCTAATTTATTCACGAATTATTAATGAGTTTGAGATCTGTCATAAATTTATATTTGAATAATACATATTGTTTAATCTCTTCAGGTACGAACGCGATTGAGGTTGAAACTTGATGATAAAATTTTGTCCAATGATATTGGTGAACTAGATGACTTGCTTACAGCTGACGTCATGAGTGACGTCATAGAAGAGAGCACCAAGGAAACGTTGGAAGTCGAGCCGGAAAATGGTGGTCTTGGATCTAGTGGCAAGGCTAGCGGGGCCAGTACCAGTAAACCTGATAAAAGTACAACAACAAAAGGTATGTATTGGTCAAACGATGCACCAACGTTGAGCAAAATTCTCTGTGGAGAGTCCTGCCTTTCGTCTCTGCGAACAGGATTTACTTCATTCATATACAGTTGTCTGATTGTATGTGAAAAAAGTGCATCCAGTTTGACTCTATCAAATCGTAGACCTCTACTACTGCATAACTCTATTAAATGATTTTAACAGTGGCGGACAATATTGGGGGTGAAGGGGAGGGCGAATATTGGGGGGCGAATTAGGTTGCCACTATATGACCACCTTTTGTTAGCTGGAAATCTTAGCTGGAAATATTTCTCGCTGTGGAACCTAAGATTTCGATACAGGTAGAACTACATGTACAATTATTCATCATGACATAGTCTATCAAGATACACGTATGAAGGTCTGGAAACTAAACAGAAGTCATTGTATTATGTTTTTGGTTTTGTTTATGTTAATTTGTGTACGTTCACGGTGATTGAGCTCATTGTATTTTCGTATAATGAAGTAACCATCCAATAAGGATAGCTGAGATGAAACGTGCAACCAGGATGAAGAATATTTAATGAAGTTGAGACAAAGGATTTGTGCACGGTGAGGTAAAGTTCAACATCAAACAAACGTCTTCTATTTTGTGGCTTTGAACCTTGCCGGATTTCCAGACCATCATATCTTGACAGACTATGATCATGATTAGATATTAATGATTGTACTTTTTGTGTGTGTTGGTGTTATGTACTCAGGTGAATATGATGTTTGTGATGTTACTCTGAGTATGCATCCGCACTGAGCAAGCTGAAAAGTTTGCCTGACCACGGTGGGAATCGAACCCACGAACTTTGGGTACTAGACTCAGTTCCGAAATATCACGAACTCGACTGAACCGAACCTCGTAGTTCAGTTGGTAGAGCATTGGACTAGTATCTCAAGGGTCGCGGGTTCGATTCCCACCGTGGTCAGGCAAACTTTTCAGCTTGCCCGGTGTGGATGCACACTCAGAGTAACACCACAAACATTAATGATTGTGCTAGCTCAGTGATACAGTAGGTGGGTTTCAGCAGGTTCGATTTCTGCCAGAAGGCCTACAGTTGCATTTTTTGCAGCTGCTTCTGGTTACATCTAAAAATTGTATATAATCTTCCGCTCAAAAATCAACTGGGTTTCACTTAGTCTCCTCTACAGGCATCGCTATTAGATCGGCGGGCAAAATTTGTAAAGTACGTGAACCACGAGATGCCTGCGAAGGAGCCTTACAGCAGATTGTGATCAACCTCGTAAAGATTACTAAAATCCTCCAACTAAAATTCTTTTGTATTTTAGACGACATGTCTGAACCGCAGAAAAGCAATTGCGAAGAATCTACAGGTGTTCCAATTACACTGACCTCCGTAGGCATTCTCAGAAACAATCAGGAACGTGACAACGAGGCCGAAACACCCGTCTTTCAAACTGTATTACCAGAAGCGATGGTTATTACTTGTGTCGATACAAGCCTTGACATCTCGCAACCCGCACGCCCTCACCTTCTTGTGTGTGAAATACCCGCGGACAAGAACCGCTCAGGCACTCCGTCGAAACTGCCAAAGTCCGATGGAAATAAAGGCAAAAGTAAATCGGTATCCTACAGCACACAGCTTTCGTTTGAAAGCGAGGATGAATATTACGACCCTTTGTTTTCAGTGCCAAGTGTTTTTCAAAGCATTAATAGCCCACTTAAGGATGTGGGCTTTTCAAAATCAGGGGCAGAAAAAGTTGACGAAACAAAAGTCGTAAAAGACGCGAAAGTTGTCCAGTGTTTAGGTATAGATGAGATTGGTTCTGATAACCTTAAAGTCAGTCAAGTTATTCCCTATGAGGATGGCGGTCATATTCTGTTTGTATTGACCAGGAGAAAGGAAAATTGTGACCAAGAAGCTTGCACGGACTCCCATTGTCCAAGTAAAGACAATACTTCGAAGACAGAGAGTATTAGCGCCTCTTTGGGTAATTGTGATAACAGCGACGATAATGCATCCAGTAGTGCTCTTCCAACCAGTTCAGGTGGGAGTGACTCTGCACCTTCCACAAAAGAGCCAACTGCAGGCACAACTAATGGTGCCCCTTTTGATGCAGAGGAAGACACTGACAATAAAGAATCATATACTGATCTCAACAACAGTTCTAGTTCGGTTAGGCCCGATTCTGAACTTTCCAATGAAAAGACAAATGGTGATAAGAACACCAAGAATCCTGTAGAGACTGAAGTAGAAGTTGCCACGAGGAATTTCGCGGGGAATTCAGAATGTGTTACTGAAGAGCTCAAATCTTCAGACAACACGAAGTACCCTAAAGAGACTAGTGATCCTGCAGGATCTGGTGCATCTGTGGGCGCGGGTGCTATGTCAAATGTAGACTTACTTAAGTGTACAGAAAACAACTCTAGTGAGGATGATAGATCTGATAATATAAAGTATCAAGGTACAAGCACAGAATCTATACTTTCGTCTGAAAGTCCATCCCAGTCAGACACTGAGCCAATCAAATCACAGGCTATTATCTCTAGTGCTCTTCATTTGTTGAACTCGGAACATTCCATTGATGAAAATATTAGTAGCTCTGTGCCTAAATATTCCCCAACTGAGAATACTATTTCGCCAGTGTTTGAAAGGAACTATTCAGTGTGTTTGTTATTGTACAAGACAAAGAAAGACAAGGGTCGGACATTACTAGAGGACAAGCCGTGTAAAACATTATTTACGACTTCAACAGAAGATAGTTTGCATGATATGTTTCTGTTACCAGACGATGCAGAAGATTCGTTTATGCCAACTTCAGTAGAAGTAAATGATGTTAAGAAAGTCTATCTTGCAGGTTTGTTTGTTTGTTTGTCTGTCTGTCTGTCTGTCTGTCTGTCTGTCTGTCTGTCTGTCTGTCTGTCTGTCTGTCTGTCTGTCTGTCTGTCTGTCTGTCTGTCTGTCTGTCTGTCTGTCTGTCTGTCTGTCTGTCTGTCTGTCTGTCTGTCTGTCTGTCTGTCTGTCTGTCTTGTCTGTCTGTCTGTTTGTAAGTCTATCTGTCTATCTGTCTGTCTGTCTGTCTGTCTGTCTGTCTGTCTGTCTGTCTGTCTGTCTGTCTGTCTGTCTGTCTGTCTGTCTGTCTGTCTGTTTGTTTGTTTGTTTGTTTGTTTGTTTGTTTGTTTGTTTGTTTGTTTGTTTGTTTGTTTGTTTGGGGAAATAGTGTGATTAACCCTTTGAGCACCAGTGCTCTCCTCTTGAAGAGTAAAATCGTCCGGCGTTACACAGTAAAATAGGAAAGCAGAAAAGATGAATGAATTTCAACTAATTCGATGCCTTTAGTAACAAGATATTTTGTGAGATATTATGAAATACGAGATATTTTGCTTTGTTAGCGAAGGCCTGCCCTCTGTTTTACGTTTTCGGTAAGATGACGCGCTTCAGCAAGACTTGTTATGAGGGCAATTTCTGCAAGACAAAATGACTTGGAAGGCTGAAAAATGATAGAATAACAAAGTAGGGCGCAATACAACTCAGGCCCCAGTTACACGATACCGGATTCGCATCGGAGCGAGTCGAGCGACATCAACTAAGACGCTTTTCGGCCTCTTACAACTTTTCATATTTGAAGTTTTTGACTAATTCTGTTATGTTATCATACTTTTGAGTGCTAAACTTCCCTTTGAACTGTAAAAATTGATGTCGTTCCGATGCGAATCCGGTATCATGTAACTGGGGGGCCTCAATGAGTTAATAGCGTGGTATCCAGACAACGATTATGAGGAATAGAATGATCTAAAAATGATCTCTATGTGTTTTCAGGTATTTCAGCTGATGGCAGTCTTGCCGTCCTGGATGGTCTCACCTTGGAAACTGTAACAAGGTTTTCACCAGACAACAGCGAACCAGGGCAACATATCCAGCGGGCAATATTTTGTTCAGGCTTGGGTTCATTTTGTATGTGTACGGAAGGTGGTAGACTACATTTCCTTCATTTGGTGAAGAAAAGCAAGTTAGCAGAGGAGTTAGCTTCAGCCAGTGCCAGTCAAGCATCTGGTGTAGAGAAACAAGCAAGTGGTAAGCAAGATTCCGGTATACTGTCACAGTGATTAGTAGGGGTGTGCAAATCCGATCCGATCGGATTCGTTCGGATTTCGGAACAAAAATATTCATTTCGGATTGGATCGGATTGATAAAGTTGTTTCGTAGTTGGATCGGATCGGACTTCGATATTCGAAATAAAATGAATTAATTATATATAATAATTATTATTTGGTTACTTTCCACTTGAATGAGAAATTTATTTTATTAAAGGATTCTTCGGATCGGATCGGAATTCTTTATCAAAACTCGGATCGGATTCGGATTAGACAATTTCGGATCGGATTGGATTTTAAACATGAGCCAATTGTCAGATTATAAACGTCCAGTCCGTTCCGATGCACACCTGTAGTGGTTAGTGGTTATGTACTTTTCACCTCTGTCACATGAATTCGATTCCTGCAATGTGCAGTTATCTGATTAGAGATGATGTGAAGGATATACTATGCAAGGCCAAAAAAAAAAATATGTGGGTTTCCGGTTTCCCGACCCTACCTAGCTTTTGGACGTCGAAATCCCGACCCTAAACTTTTTTATTGGATTATGCTTGTAAGTGTTTCCACTTAGAGGAAAAAGTTTGTGGAAAATTGAAATTTGAGGCAATATTAGGGAAATTTATCTTTGGATGTGGAAGCACTGACTAAACAAAATGGCGTCCGGTTGTTCGGAAAATTAAAAAAAAAGTTTAAAAAAAAAGTTAAAACCGACCTACCCTACCTAAGTTTTTATAAGAAGAAACCGGAAACCCACATATTTTTTTTTTTGCCCAACTACCTGAAAAATATAAGCAGAACGTCGACGTTTCGAGCGAATGCCAGTGCCATAACGCTTATTGGGTTGGGTTAGTTCAAGCCACGGCCTATCGCCCAGAAAATTAGAAAACGTAAAAAAATGCAGGTTAAGAATAAATGGGAAAATGAAAAATTAATAATGCTAAATAATAAAGCCTCCATCGACAACGGTAGCTGATGTTTTATTCCATCTTAAATAAAACAAAAATTATTCTTATTAGTTGTTACATGTTTTGGAGACTGTTATTGTTATTGTTATAGACACGGAATTTTCCAGACCATTCTATAAATATTGAATATCAATATAATATTTCAGTCAAACAATGACAACAGTCAACAGGGGACCCCCACACCCAATATGCCTCCGGACCCCCTCTTCCTTCGTTACGCCACTGGCGAAGGCCCTCGATTTGGCTACTAGCAGGGTCCGTCCAAAACTTGAATTTGAAAACAAAAATTCAAGGCCTTGAATGTCTTAGTGGAATTTGTAAAGAAGTGCTTGAGAGTCCTTAAATTCTTCTTGCTTTAGTTTATGGATATTTTCTGAAATTGTTTGACATTCAAAATAGACATTTTGTTGTTGAATTCATATCTGTTGAAACTGTTTGAAATTCATTAAACTTTGAAAAATTCAACCTCACATTTTATCGATTTTATTTTGGAAAAACGCTGATAATAGCGGTATGTAATGATAGTGCTGTAGTCAAATCTGAACCTCTAATACATAAAGTGCGGACAGGATTAACATTGAGTGTGGATAGTGCATTTCAATTTTCAAAATACGCGAAAGAAAGTCCGCTCCTGTATGAAGCAAACATGCTGTACATTGTACAATTCCGATTTTCATCTCGCTCTTATAGTCTTACTTCGTCCTGGTCTCATGGAAACGGGCCTTTGCAACGCGATACGTTTGTCATTCAAAACCTAAAATCTTAGTTCAATGTTTTATTTAATGTAGAACCAACTAGCAGCATTCCTTTGGAAGATTTATCTCTAAAGACTTTGAAGTCCTTGGTTGAAATGACGACATTTGAGAACCTAGTTCCTCGATACACCGCGATTGTACCAATATTCTGGAGCGAGATCCAGCAAGAACAACAACAAAGACGACATCCACAACACTTACTACAGAACTCTCAGGGAGATGCCAGTTGTCATACTAGAACATGGAGATTACAGAAGAAGGGGTATGTCGGAATCAGTCATCTAGATTTGTAAAATTAATACTAGTGGTCGTGGGTTTATCATAACTGTAATGAAGTCATCCACTGTGTATGCTATACGTTAACTGCAATCTATGGGCGCTTTCCATTTAATGGCCTGACCGGTCAGATCCGAATTTGAGTCTCTGTATCAATGGAAAGATCTGGTCTATGTTTCTCAAATATCTAGCGAAAATGGACCTCATTCTAATTTTATCTAAATTTTCCAGTTCTGACCGTTCTGACCAGTCTGGCCGTGTTAATGTAAAGCGCCCTAATGTAATATATACAGCATGAGCGGCCATGTTTTATCAGAACTAAAAACTTGAGCCGAAGGCGAGAGGTTGTATACAGTATACGACACGGACGCGAATGCTGTATATAGATTGTGAAACGTACACGCGTAAAAATTGAGAAAATCAACAACTTGTTCCAGGTTGATATCAACAGGCGTGAACAGTATTGTCAACATGTTGTTACAGCATTGTTCAACTGTAACAACTTGGAACAACATGGTTGACAACTTGTTCATAGTTGGCCGCACAACATTGTTCACGCCTGTCGATATCAACTTGGAACAACCTGTGCGTTTTTAGCCGTGTAAGGATTTCAACAGTTTTGTTTTCAGAAATTATTCAAAAAGAAGTGATTTTAACTCAGAAAATCGAAGAAAAAGTTTATGCAAATCAAGATAATTTTGTACATGTGGATACAACATCTCGTTAAACATTGATGTCTTTTGAATTGTTTCATGAATTATTAATGCCTTTTATGATTAATGGCTATATTACTAGCGGAATATCAGTTTAAATTGTGTGAGTAAGGCCTAACAAAAATATCATGTGGTTTCGGTTTCATATCCTCAAAAAATGGAGTAAGGTTGGTCGGAATAGATTTTTTCGAATTTTTTATTTGTTTGACGTATTGGTCAGCAATTGGCACGAGTGTGATCTGTAGGCATTGTCACAAAACATAAACGGGAAGTAATAACTGTCGGCATCAAACGCCATTTTTGGTATCACGTTGGTCTGTGGTAGGCAAACAACTAAACCACATCCAAAAAAAAACATTAGGGTCGGCAGGAAAAAATAGGGTCGATCGGAAATCGGAATATTTTTTGTGGGGCCAAGCGAAAATGAAATGGCATAAAACGAGTGTTTCAGTGTTTGAAATGAAACAGCAAGTTGTTTGCTTCTTTATGATCTCTTGTATAACATATTGTGTTTGGCCTACAAAAAAATACCTGTGGTTCCGGTTTCATATCGTGAAAAAATTAGGGTCGGAAGTAATTTTTTTTAAAAAAATATTTCTTTCATGGTTTTGGCAGTTTTTTGCTGGGCGATTAACTAGAGATGCGTATTTCCTATCGATGAATTTGGGCAATTTGGTTCAATTATTAGTGTGACAACAGACGCCATTTGGCACGCTGTATGAGCAGCCCGCAACCACCCGGAGAAAATAGGGTCGCACAGTCAATCGCGTTGAAAAAATAATAGGGTCGGCAGAAAAAAATAGGGTCGGTCAGGAACCGGAACCATAGGTATTTTACCTTACCATAGGCCTTACCATAAATTTCCTTGTTTCCAGGTTGGTGGGTGGTGACCAGTTATTCAAACTCATGTTACCACGCCCTTCGTACGTGGGCCACGTGGACATCACGTTTACTATCAACAAATCTGCAGCATCCAAGAATAACCTACAGGTGATACTCTTGAAACCTCGCAACTCGTCTTTAAGACCTAAACCCGCACAGGCCTTCACACTTTCGGGCGCACAACCCACCAACGATGACGTCATATGTGGACCTATTGATCTAACGAGGAACCTTATGCCGTACGGGGATAAAGGCCATGTAGTTTTAACCAGTGCCAGTTTACTGAAGACAAAAGTTCGTTCCTTACATGTCGTCTTTAAAAGTGAAGTAAAAACTTCTGGGAAAGGGGAAGAAAGTTCCGGTGGGAGAAATGGCTTTAGTGATCTCGAGGAAATATCTATTACAGTTCGTTCATTAAATGCTCATTTTAATCCGGACGTGTTTGGTGTACTGTTGGATACACGCAGCTTTTGCCCACGGTTAATGGATATCGTATGTGAGGAACCGAACAGTGAGGTCAGCGGTCAAGAACGTGAAGATCTTCAGTGGTTTGCGTTGGAGCTGTTGTGTTGGATTGCTGGCATCTCTGTGCATCAACCTGTCAGGTGGGTGAACTGTTAAAAATAGATCGTGGAAATATGACTGGGTTCTTCCGGTGACGCACATCGCAAGACCGTGAGTCGTGACTCGCTCCATGACTCGAAAGGCCGTATTGGATGTACTCATATAATATTTCTTAATGTCGTAATCAGAACACCGCAGTAGCTCATTTAGTCAGACATTCGATTCCAAGTTAGGGTAGCCTGCGTACCAGTGCACGGATCACGCTATCCTGCTTGAAAAAACACTTGGTAATTGTTTTATAAAATAACTACAGTGAAACAATGACATTTTGAGAATCCCGCGAAAGCATTTTAATTCCTCGTGCAGGATTGCCTGAACCTGCACGGCTATTGACCAATCAAATTGCGTGTTTCACTGTAGTTATTATATAAATAGTCTTCCGCTTTTAAAATTTATCAATTTACTTTTTACAGCAAAGAAAGTTTGGCAAGTGAAGTTGTTGAAAGATTACCAATGTTTATCGAATCATGTTTGTTGTCTTCTTCACGAAGTATTGCTCACAAGTGTAGTCGACTGGTCGTCCTCTGTATCAGGTGCGCTTTATGTATTATTGTTGTTAGATATCCATACACTAACACTAAACGAATTTATCTACAGAGGCAAGCGGATTTACGCCAAAGCAGTGTTAAATAACCTAGGATAGTGTAAGTTTAACCTCTCAGCGTAAATAAACATCAAAATTGGTGTCCCCACAGAGGCAAGCGGATTTACGCCAAAGCAGCGTTAAATAACCTAGGATAGTGTAAGTTTAACCTCTCAGCGTAAATAAACATCAAAATTGGTGTCTCCACAGAGGCAAGCGGATTTACACCAAAGCAGCGTTAAATAACCTAGGATAGTGCAAATTTACACCAAATGGGTGTTCATATATACACAACTATTTACACTGAAGAGGTGTAAATTAACACTAAAGTCAGTGTTAGCTGACAACTTTTCGCTGTCCCCACAGAGGCAAGAATTTACACCGATTTTGGTGTTGTGGCAACACTCCCAGATTTACAGTGGGAAAGCTTTATCTGGTTTACCTAAACTGCTCTGGTCATTGTTACTGCAGGAGAAACAGGAGAATCCTAAGGGATCAGACAAATGCATACTGTAGGGAGTGCAGGACTCAAACTCCGGACTGTGTCTGAAGACAAACGTGAAAAGTTTAGAGCACCCTCTTTTTCACCATAATTGTAAACATGTCATTGCGTTTGCCGACCAATCATCTGTCACCATATACATTATGGGTGGAGTTCTGGGTACGCGAAAAGAGTCATGGGTTTTGCACAGAAATACCAGCTTTAGGGAAAGTTGATTGGCAGCTGAGAGTAAAATTGCAAATATCATACAGTATAAATAGAGGATATTACATAATACCTTATTGAATTCTGATCGTTTAATTGGCTGTTTATGGTCACGTGATATTGAATAGAAAATTCCATTTCCCAAGAGTGCAATGGAATACGTTCCATTGCACTCTTTGCGAGTGCAATTGTACTATACGTTTTATTCCATTGCACTCTTTGTGTTTTCAATAAATCGCATCCGTCAAAATGCTTCTCGTACGGTGATCGCAGTTTATTTTAACCCGATATTCGAAACTCAGTAAATGGGATTTAATGCAAATACGATTCGTCAAAATGGCGGGAGCTTACAGTAAACCTTTTAATATTAGTCTATTTTGGTTTATATAAAACAAATGATGAATGTTTTTATTCGTGCAATGGTAAGAATATTTTCATTCGGTGAAAGATGGAATGTTCCATTCAACTCGGCTGTCGCCTCGTTGAATGGAACATTCCATCTTTCCCCGAATGAAAATATTCTTACCATTGCACGAATAAAAGAATTCATTATTTGTATATTACACGGCGGCGCGAAGATATGACTTTTTATCTTCGAGTGGTGAAAACAATATTTTACGAACCCTCAACGAGCGCAGCAAGTGAGTAAAATATTGTTTTTAACACGAAAAGATAAAAGTCATATCTTCAAGCCACCGTGTAATGTTCTGTTTATTATATAGTCCCAAGCAAAAAATTGTATAAATACTAAAAGTCACGTGATCGATATCTTCACTAGTGAAGATATGGAAAATATGTCACTGTGTATTTCTCAGTATCTCACTCTCTACTATATACTATATAATAAAATGTAATATGCGAACACAAAGCTAAATCGAATTTCATTTTGTGCTTTTTACAGTCAACTAAGTTCTTCAGACCAAGGCAGTGAAGCAAAGAGCGGTGTGCTAAAGGCTTTCCTTGAACTATTACCATCGACACTCAGTTCAGAATCTAGCGGTGGTATTTACTGGTTCTTCACACTGTTGACTGGTATGTTGACTGCAGATGATGTAGATGGTGCTGGAAGGTCGTGCATGGAGCTTCTCATGAATATAGCTCAGCGATTGGACAGTAAATTGACCTATCATGATCGTGTGTTACGAACAAGGTAAGGTGATTATTTGGAGCCTGAATTTTTTCGAAATACAGTGCCAAAAAATGAAATACAGTACAAATTTCTTTGACTATAATTAGATACAGCCATTTCTAGCAGAAAATAATACAAAAAACCAAACATTTACAAGTGACAAAAATAACTGGCGTTTTTGTAACTATTTCGCATGTGACCTATACGCACGCATGTGACTGCATAATTTTTTCATGTATGTCATTAATAAGTAATATATTATGGTTTCTCGTGCAATTTGGAAAAACATACACTCGTGAGTTTGTCAAAGATTTCAAATTGTACTCGTCCTTCGAACTCGTGCAATTTAGGCCGTGGGCCAAAATTATTTCACTTCATGGCAACCCCTTGGGGAATAGATTTTCTGTGATTCAATGCGTATAGTACCATAGATACTCGACTACCACGAAAAGTTCCCAAGCAAAAAACTTCCCAAACACCGAGAAAATGGGTGATCAGTGATCATCCCCTATGAAATTGTATTATAGCAAGAAAATGTGAAATTTTGTATTCAATTACAACAAAAATGACTTGCATCATCAGAAAGCTTACAAAAAACCGCATACAAGACATTTAAACAGTTTTTTTGATCCTTCAAATAGTCTTTGAGTTATTTCTGTTTTAAATGTGAAAATTGGACCAAAATGTCGCAATAAGGACTGGGTACTAGGTCAAAAACGCGTTTTTGACAGCGTGTAACTCGAAAACAATTTGAGATATTAAAAAACTGTTTAAATGTCTTATATCCAGTTTTGTGTAAGCTTTCCGATGATGCTAGTCAATTTTGTTGTAATTGAATACAAAATTTCATATTTTTTTGCTGTAATACAATTTAATAGAGGATAATCACTGATCACCCATTTTCTCGGTGTTTGGCAAGTTTTTTGCTTGGGAACTTTTTGTGGTAATTGAGCATCTATGGTACTGTGCATTGAACCACAGAAAATCTGTTCCCCAGGGGGTTGCCACGAAATTGCTGTTCCAAGCACTTTTTCTCACAACGGCCCACGGCCTAATTTTGACAGTCTTTGAGAAACTCACTCGTGCATGTTTTTCCCAAATTGCACTCGAAACCATACTATTACCTATTAAAAAAGAGCCTGTATACAGTTGCAGAGACCCGCTCGTAATGAAAACTCTATTGTATGTATTTATGATTTCGGTTCCTTCAGGTGGAATGCTGGCATCTGTTGCCAGGATCTCGCCTAACCGGGACAGGAATTTTCCGTATAAACACTCTATGCGGGATGAACTTGCCTTTCTGAGCACGCGTAAACGCCTTTGTTGTACAACAATATGACGTCAAGCAAACAATATGACGGTAACAGACTTGCTACAAGTTGTTCCAACAAGACTAATACAGGCTGCTCGTAACAAGTTGCTTCGAGCTTGTTGTCATCAACTTGTTACGTGCAGACGATATCAGACTTGTTGGAATAACTTGTAGCGAGTCTGTCGGCCTAATCAACCTTGTTACAAGATGATAACAACTTGTTCCAGACTTATCAACAACTGGGAACAAGACTTCTTGTTGACAAGATGTGAGAGTTTTACGCTTGTAGCACAAAACGTAGATACAAAACAACTTTTGATTTCTCAGTTTCAGTCTATACGGGACGCCCTTGGACCCGACGATTTTCGATGTATCCATGGAAACCATGGGTTTATTCGCCACCAGCAAGTTATCGGATGATCTTCTCAACCCCAAAAACATTGGAAAACATTCGCAAGAAGTCGACGAGATCGACCTCATGGATTACATTATCGCTAAAAATAGCAGTCGTACCCTTGGTACTTCATCTAAGATGGAGCAACTGCTGTCTTCGATGTACGGGATACTGGAAGTGGAGCCCCTGGATTTTTCGTGTTCATCTATGAGTGATGGTTGTAAGATTGATTACTGTCAGGGGAGTGGACCCCAGGGAGGAGGGAGCAATGGTATTGGATCGTTGTACTACCCAAGTACTAGTGTTGACATCCCTGCACCAATGTCTGCTCTTCAAGATCATGTACAACAACTCAAGGTGAGCATTATGTATGATTGTCAGGGGAGTGGGTCTCAGGGAGGGAGGGAGGGAGGGAGGGAATATCATTGTACTACCCAAGTACTAGTGTTGATATCCCTACACCAATGTCTGCTCTTCAAGATCATGTACAACAACTCAAGGTGAGCATTATGTATGATTGTCAGGGGAGTGGGTCTCAGGGAGGGAGGGAGGGAGGGAGGGAATATCATTGTACTACCCAAGTACTAGTGTTGATATCCCTACACCAATGTCTGCTCTTCAAGATCATGTACAACAACTCAAGGTGAGCATTATGTAAGATTGTCAGGGTAGTGGATCTCAGGGAGGAGGGAGGGAATGTCATTGTACTACCCAAGTACTAGTGTTGATATCCCTACACCAATGTCTGCTCTTCAAGATCATGTACAACAACTCAAGGTGAGCATTATGTATGATTGTCAGGGGAGTGGGTCTCAGGGAGGGAGGGAGGGAGGGAGGGAATATCATTGTACTACCCAAGTACTAGTGTTGATATTTCTACACCAATGTCTGCTCTTCAAGATCATGTACAACAACTCAAGGTGAGCATTATGTATGATTGTCAGGGTAGTGGATCTCGGGGAGGAGGGAGGGAATGTCATTGTACTACCCAAGTACTAGTGTTGATATCCCTACACCAATGTCTGCTCTTCAAGGTCATGTACAACAACTCAAGGTGAGCATTATGTAAGATTGTCAGGGGAGTGGGTCTCAGGGAGGGAGGGAGGTAGGAGAGATAGGGAATGTCATTGTACTCCAAAGAACAAGGGGGAATTTCGTTCTCGACCAATCAGCGCATTTGTTGACAATTTCGCTCTAAGCCAATCAGAATACGTAATTGGTTACTGTAGGTAGTTTCCCTGAGAGCACAGAAAGTCCACTTCCGGTAAAAACAAACATTTGACCAGAAAATTTAGGTCTTATTAAATAAAGCTTCGAGGGGGTCAGGATTTTTAATTTTTTTATTGGATTCAACGTGACAAGGTAAATTAATATATTTTCTAAAAATGTGACGCTGGGATCTGCGTTTCATTGCCTAGTTCTAAAATTATCGGCATTCGAACTTTCGCGCTTTTTGTACGCCGCTGTTCGAAAGCCGACAACTTTAAAACTAGGCAATAAAACGCAAATCCCAGCAGCAATTTTTAGAAAATTTCTTATTTTACCTTGTCACGGTAAATCCAATCAAAAAATTAAAAATCCTGACCCCCTCGAAGCTTTATTTCAGAACGCAAGAAGAACAAAATCCATCACAGCTAAGAAAGAGCATGTTAAAATTAGTAAAATTGCAAAGTTTGGCCGAGAAATGTTGTAAAATGTGGAAAATATTCTTTGGCTTTCTTTTATTGGTGAAAATCGGCTTTGCAATTTTACTAATTTTAACATGTTCTTTCTAGTTGTGGTGATGGATTTTGTTCTTCTTGCCTAGATCAAAATTTGGTCTGTAGCAATCATGTATTTGGCAAACAACTAATCCATTTCTTCATTCTGCTGTGTTTAGGAACATGAAAAACTTCTGAGTAAACTTCAGAAACAGAAACAACAACTGGAAGAACAACATCAGGAATTGGAAGAACTTGGAGGAATGTTATTTTCTCCTATGAATGCCGCACAGAAACACAGCTTGTATGAAGAGGCTTGGGCCAAGGATATGTCGTCACCGCATCAATACAAGTTCCATGCAGCCTTTGGTGGCATGAAGACTGTGGGATTATTTGGTGGTAAAGCTCCCTCTCAAGCTGCGTCAGTGAAAACGAATACCAGTCCTGTTCCACAGACACGAACCTCATTTCAGGTATAATTCAGGCCTCGAATTTAGGAAAAGATTCAGATTTATTGGATTTAGAATAGACAATTAATAACCATTATAGACTAATTTTAAAGAGATGCAAATAAATCACCACAGCTAGAAAGAGCATACTAAAATGAGTAAAATTGCAAAGTTTGGTTGCGAAATATTGTAAAATGCGGAAAATATATAGCCTTGCAAATTTTGTATACTTTTGTATTGCGTGCGGAAATTGCTACCGTTTTCGGCCCAACTGTGGTAGTAATTTCCGCACGCAATACAAAAGTATACAAATTTGCGAACATTGCAAAGCTATATTTTCCGCATTTTACAACATTTCGCAACCAAAATTGCAATTTTACTCATTTTAGTATGCTCTTTTCGGGAATATACTCTTTCTTTGCCAAGATAAAAAATTAGTCTATAATGTGAATTGTTTATTCTTGTGCCAATGGTTTCAGCCTTGTTGACTAATTTATTTCCCTTTTTTAGCTACCAGTGCCCAAGCTTCTGACGATCGAGAAGCTGCAGACGGGTGCCCGACATTTCGTTGTGTTGGACTTTGGTCAGAGTGTGAGACTGACGGATATATTTATCCCAACATGTCTTGATCTATCCTCGCTTGTTATTGATATCTGGGTGGACAGTGAAGAGAAAGATTTAAGTCGTGTTGCTGTGTCTACTGATATTGGTAGTAAGCCTTTGTTGTTGACTGACCTTCTGCCTCCTCTGACTTGCAGATATCTCAAGGTTAGTATCGGGTTTTTTTGCGTCTAAAGGCTGCTTTCCAGTGGACCTATTCCCTAATGAACAAAATTTTGTTCTAGACAGAAATTTCATCACAGCTTGAAAGAGCATCACAAAATTAGTAATATTCCGAAGTTTCGTTGCGAAATGTTGTAAAATGCGGATAATATAGCCCTGCGAAGTTTGCCGTTTTTCAGTCATTTTGTATTACGCACGGGAAATTGATACCGCTTTCTTCGAAAAGTGGCCAAAAGCTAGGTAGGGACGGGAAACCCAGGTATGTTTTTTGTTTTTGGCCTTGGTACTAAAGTGAAACCCACCGATTTTGTCGCCTCGATTATCACGCGACCGAAATAAACAAAGTATTAAAGCCCATTTCCACTCAAGAAAATTTTCCACGAACAGAAAATTTTCCGAGAATATCATTGTTAAAAGTTGAAAATTTCAACTTCAAAATTTTTCCAACGGAAAATTTGTGTCGGCCAATCACATTTTACAAATTTTTCTTTCCGCGGAAAATTCTCTTGAATGGAAATGGGCCTTTAGCCTAAACAGAGATCCGACTCCTTGTCGCTGTCAGCATAGCCGGCCGCCATGTCCCTGGCTAGTGCGCTAAGGAGAGACCGTCACCCCTTGAAAACATTCATATTGGGGGGTGCGAGTGGCTCGCAGTAGCACACTGCACTGGCTAAGAACATGGCGGCTACCCTGGTGGCCTGTTACGGATTTTTTGCCGAGTCGGACCTCTGTATTGCGTATATAGCATGTAGTCTGTGCTACAGGGTAGGCCGATTCTTCACTGAGGCTGGGGAGGAGCGTCATACGAGTGTTTCTTCATACACAATGTTTATTGTTTTCATTCATTCCTAGATTTCTATTTTTGCTCGTCATGGCACACTACGTACCAAGCTAATTCTTGGAGAATACTTTGGTTATCCTGTGTTGTCGGAAACTGGCGTGACCGAAGCTCAACCGAAGGAGAACGAAGATGCGTCGAGAGAAGCTTATCTCAATCTGATGTATGATGATGTGTTCTGTCAATATGGTATCGCATGCTCGCGGCTTGAATCTGTACTGAACTCTACAGAACCTGGAGCGCTCATGTCTAGCGCAAATGATAAGTCAAGGAAGGATGAGACAACAGTCAAACAAGCTTACGAAGTGTGTATGAGTCTACAATTGCGGTTAAATTTCTTAGAACAAAGCATACAGCGAATCAATAGACGGCAATCCGGTAATCAAACATTTCCTCGACTTTCTGCTGGTGAAAATGTTGGTACTGTTATTGAGCATGCGTCGTACAGTAAACTAAAGGTGATTTCTGATTGGTTGGTTCATGTGCTAGTTTCCTTATTTGGAGTAGAGGCGCCCACGGATAATTCCAGGATGCAGTGGACTCAGGATATCACCTTCGAGACATGCCAGAGTTTGTTTACAACATTCTGTGTGAAGGGGAGCTCGGTGTCTCGCGCCAGAGTGGGGGCCGTGTTACTCCGTACCTGTGGGGAACAAGCTTGGTGGGGAGAGTTTCTAGCCTGGGTCATGGAGAGATTCTTCAGTCTGGAACAAACTTTGATGTTCTCACAAGAAAGGTGAGTTTGCCATGTATGACCCAATGAGCTCTTTCTGTTTCTCTCTCTCTATGTACTAGTTAAAACATGAGCAGCCGATCTTTATCTGATATACATACTCGAGCCGAAGGCGAAAGTTTGTATATCAGATAAAGATCGGATGCGAAGTAATTTTAAAAATAAA